GAACTTGGCCATTTTCAGGGGCTTTCATTGAGGGCTGTAGGACTGAGAAGTCATTGCTTGTCCATTTTGGGGGGAGACATGTACCCTTGGGCTAAAGAGGAGGAGCCAGTGAGGAGGGACTGATGCTGGACCGAGCAGCTCCAGAAGAGAAGGGGGGCTCCGCTCTGCTCGGATCCTGTGCCCCGGGGCTGGGGTGGGGGCAGCCAGCTTGGTGTGAGGAGGGAGCCGAGACAGATAAGGAGGGACCCAAGCCGCTGGGACTGGAGGGAGAGGAGTAGAAACAGGCCCTTGGTATCCTCTGTAATTACATTTTATAAAAATAAATTGGTACCGAGAAGTTTATAATGAAAACCAGCTCCCTTGCCCCCTTTCCCCTCCAGAGGCAGCCACGTGCAGCTCCTTCAGCTGTTTCCTCCCCGACGCTCACCTCCATATTTCTAAATCCGTGTATCAGCTTTAGATAGCTCTCTGTAGATATTATATGTAGTATTTAGACATTATGTGTATTATTTTATCAGCCTATATACTAGGCTCTCTTCCCCTCCTCCCAGATCCCAGGAGAGTTATACCGCAAAAGTCAAGTCAGTATGCTATTAGGAGCTCAATAGCTAAATCTGATTATGTTGCTTCCGTTTTGCTTTTCTCTGAAGTAGCAATAGTCTTGTATTATGATTTGCTAGATTTTATGCATCTACCTTGGGTTCTCCCCACCCTCCAATGCCCTATGAATACCATAAAAAGATTCAGAACATTTGTTCCATTTTTTAGAATTAGTGACCTCCTTCCTAGAATTCTCTCTTCCTGATACAATCTGGGGTGCTCACTCTCTAGAGTTGCAATAAGGCTTTCAGTCTGAAATTTCCTTCAGTACCATCCCAGAAATTTCTTGAACCTTTCTCCAATCTTAGACCCTTTTCTTTACTCCACATGTACAGTTTACTCCTTTGTTTCACTGGAGTACATTTTTTAAAAGCTTTCTCAGAAAGGGTGCTTTAGAGGGAGTTTTGTTTTTATTTATTTTTTTAAATGTTTAAGTCAGTTACAATGTGTCAATTTCTGGTGTACAGCACATTGCCCCAGTCATGCATATACATACATAAATTTGTTTTCATATTCTTCTTCATTAAAGGTTATTGTAAGATATTGAACATAGTTCCCTCTGCTATACAGAAGAAACTTTTTATAAATCTATTTGTATATTTAGTGGCTAACATTTATAAATCTCAAACTCCTAAATTTATCCCTTCCTACCCCATTTCCCCAGTAATCATAAGATTGTTTACTATGTCTGTGAGTCTGTGTCTGTTTTGTAGATGAGTTCATAGTGTCCTTAGTCTCTTTTTTTTTGATTCTGCATATGAGTGATATCACATGATATTTTTCTTTCTCTTTCTGGCTTACTTCACTTAGAATGATGATCTCTGGGTTCATCCACATTGCTGCAAATGGCATTATTTTATTATTTTTTATGGCTGAGTAGTATTCCATTGTATAAATATACTGCAACTTCTTTATCCAGTCATCTGTCAATGGACATTTAGGTTGTTTCTGTGTCTTGGCTATTGTATGTAGTACTGCTGTGAACATTGGGACACATGTATCTTTTCGATTTAAGAGTTCTCTCTGGATATATACCCAGGAGTGGGATTGCTGGATCATATGGTAGATCTGTTTTTATTTTTTTGAGGCATCTCCATACTGATTTCCATAGTGGCTGCATCAAACTACATTTCCACCAACAGTGTAGGAGGGTTCCCTTTTCTCCAAAGCCTCTCCAGCATTTATCATTTGTGGACTTTTGAATTATGGCCATTCTGACTGGTGTGAGGTGATACCTCATTATAGTTTTGATTTGCATTTCTCTGATAGTTAGTGATAATTGAGCTTTTTTTTTTATGTGCCTATTGGATATTTGTATGTCTTCATTGGAGAATAGCTTGTTCAGATCTTCTGCCCATTTTTGGAGTGGGTTGTTTATTTTTTCGTTACTAAGTTGTATGAGCTGTTTATATATTCTGGAAATTAAGCTTTTGTCAGTCGCATCATTTGCAAATATTTTCTTCCATTCCATAGGTTGTCATTTTGTTTTGCTTGTGGTTTCCTTTGCTGTGCAAAGGCTTGTAACTTTAACTAGGTTTAGTTTTGCTGTTATTTCTATTGCCTGAGTAGACTGCCCTAGGAGAACATTGCTAAGATTTATGTCAGAATGTTTTGCCTATGTTTTCTTCTAAGAGATTTATCATGTCTTGTCTTATATTTTAAGTCTTTAAGCCATTTTGAGTTTATTTTTGTATATGGAGTGAGGGAGTGTTCTGACTTCATTGATTTACACACTGCTATCCAGTTTTCTCAACACCTCTTGCTGAAGAGACAGTCTTTTCTCCACTGTATATTCTTGCCTCCTTTGTTGAAGATTAATTGACCATAGGTGTATGGGTTTATTTCTGGGCTCTCTATCTGTTCCATTGTTCCATATGTCTGTTTTTTATGCCAATACCATGCTGTTTTGATTACTGTAGCTCTGCTGTCTGAAGTGGGTCTCTTATATGCAGCATATTGTAGGTTCTCGTTTTATTATCCTATCTGCCACTCTTTTGATTGGAACATTTAGTCCATGTAGACATTTAATGTTATTATTGATATAT